GTGGGAAGATTCTACTACCAGTCCTTCATCACCCTAAATGAAATAGGGTGAATATATCTCGTATAATTGATTTACTGGTAGTCTCGAAACTACTTATACGAAAAATATATTTATTTCCTTTTCATCACTTATAGAAAATATTTCGCTAATTTTTTTCCATAGAAAACACTTAAAAAATATTCAACCAACCGCTGTAGATAATGAGGAAGTTACCACTACTCCTGATCAGGTATTTCTTTCTTCATCTCTCGGAAACGAGGCAGGACCATCATTTCCTCAAGATGATGACGGTTCCGTATGGAGTGACACTCTTTCCCGAGCATCACAACGACGTAATCTTATCGCATCTCAACAACGCCTACAACGCTGTCGTGATATAAGTAGTCTGCGTCGGCGCCAACACCAACAACAGACAGGACAGCGGCTCCCATCTGATCTCAGACGACCTGAAAACGGGATGAAGGACTGGACCCACTGGCATGAATCCCGTATTATGAATGAATCAGACTGCGTGACAGCGCCGCTACTGAATCAGAGCCGTCGACTCTCCTGCTCCTCGCGTTCAGATTCCTTCTCGTCCACATCCAACCAGCCACTGCTCTCTCCCCATTCTTCTCATGCTTCACAATCAACCGTCGGTTCCTCTGCTTTTTCCCTCGGACGAGCACCCCCATTGTTGAGACAGGTTGAGCGACATTCCGCGATACCGCGCTCTCTTTCTGAGCGGGCTTCCTTAGCCAATCGATCTCCCGAAAATTTTGCATTTGGCCCAAATGAAGACGTTGAATATGGAGAAGAAGTGGTAGGCGAAGTTTGGGGAGACGCTTTCGCATCACTTGAGTCCACTACATTGGTATGTGAGTCTCATCGTCAGGACATTGAAACAAAATCAAGTAAGACAAAGATAGAACGTAATATTACAAAAGCTTCCTCTTAAGAGCTCTATCTTATGGCTATTCACTAATTATTGATATATTTTATAATATTGGAAAGTAGGCAAATTCGATGCCTTTTGCAATATAACTCCGTAATCGTGTTTATATGCGCTATGCGATTGAGACAATTCCTTACAACATACTTTATAAATATGAGATGTATTCACCCTATTTCGTCTAATGTGATGAAGGACTGGTAGTAGAAACGCACCTAGTCCGGAGTTTATTGTCTGCATAATCATTTCCAAAGTTGAACCGTGAATGGGGTACATTCCCAAACGCTTCGCCGGCATCGTCTGTGAGTATCGCCATCCGTAGCACCATACAACAACTCTTCAAACAGACAAGTGAAGCCGATGCTTTGACCAAACTTG